AGGCGCATGAAAAAGGAAGGGTGGGGGAAGGTGAGAGACATGACAGGCCTGCATTTCTTGACAGGCTTCTTTTTAGGGCAAGGGACTCATCTCACCATCACTGATTTCTCAAATCCTTAAGCCTCACCCAGCAAAGGTAGTCCTGGACGACAGGCACTAGAGTCACCGCAGTGGGGACCATGACCTTCTAGTGACCCCTCATAACTCACAAAGGAAGCCTACCCTCACTGGAGCACTGTGTCCTGCTTTAAAGAATGACACTCCCTATCTGACCCCAAGGCCTCCCTGCAAGGGAAAACAGCAGAGGGTTAAAGACGGCGACATTCAGGACTTTTTTTTTGGACCAGGGGGCTGCTTCAGAAAGTTCCTGGAAAAATTGAATCAATCAATGAACGGCAATTTCCCATGAGCTTTTTGAAGTTCCCGTGTACAACTCAAAATACTCAAAAAATTTAAGATCCCAAGGGGGAGTGTGAGTTCAGACAAGTACTCAGACCGGGCACAGCACTGTGGAAACGACATCACCCGTGCAAGGACTAGTCAGACCCAGTGATCGGCACACAGAGCAGGCACCAATAAAGACTTCCTGCCACCCTGCGCAAGCAAGGCTTTCCCTGGAGTCTTTCCCTAAGCCATGCAGGGGACTCAGACCAGGCTGGGGAAGCACCGCTTCACCTGGCACCGGGTCTTTTGCTTCCTGAAGATCAGTCCAGGGGGATAATGTTGGACTTTTCATTTTGGGTAGCTATGTGTACGATGCTTTCTTGAGAGGCACTTTTCGTTTATATAATGCACTCTTTATTCACGAGTTTCTGTGAATTCGGTCCTCCAAGTTTCCCAGACAATCACAGTCACGTAGACGCGAGAACCTCCCTTCAGTCATAACTTTAGCCATGTTTACTTCCTTGAGCATCATATTTTTCTATACCTACAATATTGACACATGAGAATGCTTGACTTCCGTTCAAACTTTGTCAGGGAAGGTCAGGTCTTTCACCACAACTTTCCACCAGGAATTGCTTTTACATCAGTTCAATGGTGCTTCAAGCTCTTTTTCATATCTTAGCTACAAGCTTTTTTTCCGGGGGTTTTTTGAAAAAATTATCCTTCTGGTGCTTAGGCCCCACAGGAAAAATACGACACGCAGGCTCAGACGGGTAGAAAAATGACTGAAGAGTCACTGAATAATGGGCTAACAAAATGCTGTGCATAACCATGGGAGTCGTGGTGGCACAGCGGGTACACATTTGGGCTGCTAACTGCAAGGTCAGCAGTCCGAAACCACCAGCCGCCCCACAGGATCAAGATGAGGCTTTCTACTCCAGTCAAGAGTTACAGTCCTGGAAACTCACAGGTGCTGTCCCACCAGTGCTGCAGGGGCGCTGTGAGTCAGAATCAACTCCATGGCCCGAGAGGTTTGTTTTTGGTGATGTAGCCGGATTGAGAGGATGGCCGGGGTGAGCTAAAAGAACTAAGTTTTCCCAAGGGAGAACCCCACAGTTAATGTCTGAAGGCAGGAGCAGTTAAGGAATCAGTGCATACTATGCATTTTAGTTAGAAATGGGGAAAATCAGGGAAAAGAAATAAGAAATAGGAAATGTAAGGGGTGCCTCTGGGGAGTGGGCTCTTAGGGTTTTATCTTTCTTCCTCAGAGCAGCTGGTGGTTTGGGCGCTGCCAGCCTTGTGGTGAGCAGCTTACTCCACGATGCCACCAGGACTGCTCAAGCTTGGAGCACTGAGTAAAGTCTGAGACGAGCACCTTTCTATAGACTCCAGTCTCCCGTTAGAAGGACGAGGAGCAGAGAGCAGGGCTGCAGGGAGCACACAGGGCTACTTCAAAGGACCGCGAACAGCTCAAGGTTCTGGCACAATCCTTCCCAAAATGAAGAAGCGTAAAGGGAAGAGAGAGGCAGGCTAGGAGGTAAGGGAGCTAAAATAGAACGCCCTGCCCAGGCGGTCTCAAATTATGGCAGATCCGGCAGGTCCTCTGGGAAGTTCCTCCAGCTCCAAGAACTTGAACTCCATCCAAAGAGCAAAAGGTAAAGTGCTTCCATGAGCCCCCCTGCATCTTGTGCAGGCTTGACGGCCAGCAGCCGGCAGCAGGTGGCCAAAGGTCTAGTTTCAACTCCAGAGGAAGTCTCCAGGTTCCTGACCGGTGGGCTTTTCCCTTTCTTTTGAGCTGGACTAGAATGACCAGAAGGCTCGTGTATTCTCACTCGTGACTTCAGAACTGCCAGATATTAAAGCCTACTGCTTCCCTTAGCAGAACAATCAGGGACCGTTTCCAAAACCGTGCCACTGAAAGGGGCCAATGTAGCGGAATGAATAGTCCAAACAGCTGCTCCGGCAGGCAGGAACTAACTCGGTGGGCCACTTAACCAGTGAGTCAGCCAGGAAGTGTCATCCCCAGATGGCAAAAACAGCTCCCTGCCGGGCTCCAGAGAAAGGCGGTGTCGCTGGGTCCTGGACCCACCAGAACCAGAACAGTGCATCTGGGCCATGTGGTGGGGCCATGGGCAGCTGGGTCTGGCTCTCACCAGCTGCTGTAAACCTGTAAAATGCCGCCCTGCTGTACACCCGGGCTCCAGGCCATCCCACCCAGGGGGCAAGGAGGGAGAAGTGGGCAGACGTTCTTAGGAAACAGAGGGGAAGGGGGCTCGAATGGCACTCAGAGAGAGAAATGGAGGCTGAGTGACCTTGGGCATGGCCTTGAGCTCTCCAAGCCTCCATGCCTTCTAAGTGTGCGGCTCTTCTGTGTGACATAAGGTGTCCCTGCAGGAGTGGAGATGGCATAGTAAAGCCCTGAGCACCCCGCCCAGCACACAGTGAGGGCTTGGCTGTATCTGTGGACCATCTTGGCAGAGTGGCCTCAGGGGAAAGCATCTCCCAACGGGGCAGGAGGACTGGTGGGTCTCCACACTCCCAGGGAACAGACAAACCCTCCTTCTGGGATCCCCGCCAAGGCCAAAAGAAAAAAAAAGAGGGGGGGTGGTACGCAAAAGTTCCAAACTCTAAAAATAGTTCCAAACACCCTTATAGAGTAGTCTGCTTCTGTGTGTGCTGCTGCTGGCCTCTGTGTGCACTGCGCCTGCTATTTCTGAATCTGTCTGGCCTGCCTACTCTCAGGGTCACCTCCCCCGCTGCAGCCCAGCATGAAGCCCCTGGGCTCGGAACCAGCACTGTAGCAACCCAGTTCCTCCCTCGGCATTCCACAAGGACCGCCATGGCCGGCTTGGTGGTACCACCTCAGCAGGACTGACTGAATTCAGAGCCCAGTCTGTTCTCCTCTTTCGAGTTCCCACCCTCCGCCCTCCCTGCAGCAGCTCTGGGCTCGGCCAGGACCTACAGGACAGTGGCCTCAGTCAACTGCCCCAGCAAGACTGCCTGCCTATTCACCCACCTACCTCATCTAGCTGTCTCTTTGTCTCTTCTTCCATCCTTCGAATGTCGTCCATTGTCAGGTCAACCCACTTATCGAGCCAACAGAACAGCTGCCTGTGGAAGTTTGTAAACAGACGCCTCTCTTGCTGTAAAGAGGAAGAAGCAAGTTAGAACCAGAGAGGAAGACCGTGGCTGCCACCTTCTTCTCTGAGGTCTCTGGGCCCACAGCCACTCTTGACAGGGGAGACGTGGGGAGTGTGCTTGGCTGGCTCGTGTGCATCAGACCTCATGGTCCAGATCGGTGACCGTCTCCCCTTCCCCCACACAGCTCATGGGTATGATGTCTGCAAAACAGGGGGGGCCCCAAAAGAGCACAGGTGTCTCCTTCCCAGCCAAGTCTGCTACTCCAAACACTGCAGCCCGCGAGCTCAGAGCCACGCCAAGAACTCAGAACAACTCTGCTAAGTCCCTTCCTGGTCTCTGGAGCCTACAGCCAGGTCAAAGCTGGCCAGCAACTATGGAATGTGGTCCTCGAGTGAGGCTCGAAGATGGCACAGAACGAAAGGGCTATGCAAACACCTTGGGTCCATACAAAGGAGCTATGGAACTGAACCAGGAACAGTAGGAAGCAGGTGACATGGTTATGAGGTAACTGTATGCTTTTCCGCTGATGGGCAGCATCCTTTCCCACCCCCGGCCACACACCCAGAGGTCACTGAGAAGGCTGGCTACTTGCCTTATGTATGAAGTTTTCCACTTTGTTCTGCAGGCCCCACCACTTGAACTTGACAGTAACCAGTTTGTACGCACACATGTACGGGCAGTCTTTCTGATTTACAAGTTCTTGCTGCAAAAGAAACACCCCGGCAGGTAGGTAACTAGGAGTGTCTCCTCAGGTCTCCCTCATCCTCCCTCCAACCGCCCCCAGTGGCAAGGTTGGGAACTGCACCTTCCAATTGGTGGTCAGAGGGCCTCGTCCTGTTTTGATAGATTTAAATTTTGCTGGGTCTTCCTCTGCTTTGTAATCCTGAAAGAGATCGTGGAGTTCGGGTTGGAGGTGGGGAGAGGGGAAACAAAAAGAAAGAAACCAGATTTGTCAAAACCTTATGCCAGTTCTGATGATGCTAGCCCGCAGGGACTGTGGGTAAAATGTTACACCCGAGCTCCAGAGCACATGCATTTCGACTCTAAGCAGAGCCCTGCACCCTGCTTCTCTGCCGCCCCGGCTCAGGTGCAGTTGGGACAAGTGTGCAAGACCCTGGCCACGCACATGTTTCCACTGCTGAAGACGGGTGAGTGTCCAGGGTGGGACCTTTCAAGATGCAGATTTGGGGTGTACCTTAGACCCAGTCAGCAGCATGTCTGCAGGCCAGTCCCAAGGCTGAGGCTGGAACACAGTCGGGCAGGATAATAGGCCTCTCGTCTGCTCGCTCGCTGGCTTGTTTTAATAAAAGCGTGTTCCTGGAAATGCTCCACATGGAGAATCGATCCCCTGGTGTCAGACTTACTGATCAAGCTCATCTCTCAGGCTTATGGAATGCAGTCCATCCGGTGCGTGAATGAATCACAAAGAGAGAGCAATCTAGCTGTCCCCCTGCACCGACTGACGTTGGGCTCAGGACAAGCAAGCTCGTAGTGCCATCTGTGAGAGCAGGGACTTACTTTCTCCCATCTTCCCCACCACTGCTTCCCTTACTCACAGAGAACCACCAGCGCTGACCAAATACTTAGAAGAACCATGCTTTGTGCGGGTAAGGATGTGTTTGTGAAGTACTGGGAATACATTCACTTTGGTTTGTTTTTTAGTTTAAAATCCATTCACCCTTTAGGGCTAGAGATAATAGGTAAGGAAGCGCAAGATGGGTTTCTGCTTTCTGGGAATGCACATGTCTAACCGGCTGAAGTATACAGTGACTACAGGAGAGGGGTCACGCCCTCGAGATTAAAAACAGCAAACACTGATTCCTGACCAGTGAGCAGAGCCAAATTCCTATCCCCTAATCCTTTGTCCAAAAAAGCAAGAACACTAATGAATGGAGAGCAAACACTTCCATTCCAGGAACCCAACATGGAGCCAGACCGCAGTGTCCTCTGCTCTCCATGAGCTTCTGAAAGCCACCACCGACTCCCAATATATTCTCCACCCCTCAGCTGGAACCCCAGAATCGAGCAGCTTCAACGGCCCGAGAGGCCTAGTCACAGTACCGAGGCCCACCGAAACCCACTGCCATCTATACGCTTTCGACTCACGGTAACCCTTTTAAGGCAGTCATGCTGCTCCTTGGTGTTTCCAAGATTGTAAATCTGCCGGGGAATCAAAGCCCCTCACCTCTCTCCCGTGCAGTGGCTGTGCACTGTTGGCCTGTGGGTTAGCTGCCAGTGCCTAACTGGCTGCACCACAAGGGCTCCGACAATACCGATGTGGTCCAGAAATATTGTCCAGAGGCTGGTCAAGACACAAATCTGGGCTGTTGTTTTCCTGTTGTAACCCTTAGTCAAAGTTCCCGGGTGGCATTAAATAGTTTGCCTTCAGCTGCTAAAAGGTTGGCAGTTTGAACCCACCCTGTGGTACTGTGGCAAGAGGGCCGGTGCTCTGCTTCTGTGGAGCGTGTCAGCCAAGAAAAGGCTATGGGGCAGCTCAATTGCACACCACAAGGAGCCACGACCAACCCGGTGGCAATGAGCTTTGTCTCGCATCCCCGAGTCAAGCAAGGGAGACGATGAAAACCAATGAGAAAGAAACCCAAACACTCTGCACCTACCTAAGAGTGTAGTGAGTCAAGTCAGGGCACAGTTCCCTGGATTGTCTAACACCTGGAACCATTTCTGCACCTCAAACGCTACCACACATCTTGAAATAGTTCCTACCTTGCTAAGTACTTGGCTTCGATCTGCAATGTCTATATATATTACTTCCGTATGCTTCCAGGCTTCAGGCTCCAGTTTATGCACCTGCAGGAAGAAGGTGGACCGTGGCATGTTTTCTATCAGCGGCAAAGCACCCTTCACCCCAAACGGACACCTAGGTATAGCTGTCTTCATAGCCATTAACATGAGATTCCTTGTGTAATAAAGAATTTTATGTGAAATGATCTGAGATAAATATATGTGGGAACTTAAAGAAAATCTGTGGTAAAATTGTGTTATCTGTTCATGTCTTTTTTCCCAAGCCTTCTGAAGCCGCCCCCCACCCCACCCCTCCCCCCGCCAAGTGTGTAACCAAGTATTTGCCATGTCAGCATTCCAGGGACATTGACTGTGCTCATCACGCTGTCCGAGCTTCATCAGGACCATCACTTACTGGCAGCTCACGGTCCCCTTTTGCAGTCACTGGGAGAGTGGACTATTTGCGTGAAAATTAAACTTGGGCACCAACATTCTGATTTTTTGAGCAAAGTAGACTTTGGGGCTCCCTGCTGCTGTTTCCCTCAGATCCCCCTTTATTTAGAGGGTGTACGCTCAGGGACAGGTTGCCAGCATAGCCACATTATTAGTTATTTGGATGCTTCTACAAACCAAAACCCACGAAGAATTGCATGTCACACCAGTCCCAACATCCCTAGAAGACCCGGCAACGAGCCTGGAGGGGCCCATTCTGTAAATCTGAGGCAGAGCAGCCCCATGGTGGCGAGACTTGTCCAGGCAGATGGATGATGGTCTCTCAGCTGGGGACCTAGGTGCCGTGGAGAGGACCCTGCATCAGGGGCTACAGGGCAGAACCTCTTCAAGACCTCGCTCTGGGGGTTCTTGGAAGCGTACTTACATTTTCCAGGGTGCCAAGATCTGGTTTGTGCCAGGTTTCAATTTTAATCAGAAAGTCTTCTTTCATGTACTCATTCTGGAAAGGGAGACAAGAACCACCTCACAGCCCCCGGCAGCGCGGTCTCCCAAGCCCGGCTCACGGGCAGTCGGAGACCCCAGCGTCTGCCGCACAGGGACAGCTAAGTTGACTGGGCACTGCTCCTCGTCCCAGCAGGCTCTGTAGTGCGGTCACCCTCACTGTTCAACGAGGAAAGGAAGGCCCCCAATTTGGCGACTTATTGAGGCCTCAGAAATGACACACAAGGAGGGCTCCCTACACCTTGTCCTTCAGTGCTTTTGAAAGTTCTAACAATTAAAAAAAAATCATATGAACCCAGTAACACCTCAGTGGGAATACTGCAGAAACGGGATACATTTGCTACCTAGGGAGGGGCACCTCAGGTCATTCTGAACAGCAGAGACCCCAAGCTAAGACACTGCACCTTAAAAAGTCAAATGCTAAGGCCACTGACAGCAAAAGGTCACAAGGCCCCAAAGCAGGTTCCCCATGGGGCCTGCAAGAGGAAGGCTGAGTTAGGGCTGCAGTGTTCACCTCGGTTCTTCGTTTCTTATGTACCACTGTAGCCTCTGAAGATACTTACTGTAATAACTGCTCCAAGACACGGCATGGAGAGAGAGAGAGAGAGAGAGAGAGAGAGAGAGAGAGAGAGAGAGAAAGATTAGTGAGAATGGGAACGAAATCTGCCCGCCTGCCCGCCCACCCCCCACCCCTGGACCAGGAATAGCCAAGTCCTCTACTCCAGGGCTCATTCCACCCCCACCCTGCCCCCGCCCCCATGACCAGTGAGGCAGGGATACATCCGTTTGTCAGCCCTCCACTTTCACTTCAAAGAAAGCCCCAAAAGACTGAATCTGGAATTTAACTAAAAGCAAAGCCACTATCTGCTTCTCTGGAGCCTTTCCAGCTGGAGACCAGGACAGGGGCAGCGCTGGTCAGTGGAGGCACTGTCCCCGTCACTCTGTGGGCGCATCCCCAGGGCCCCCATGGGCAGAGTGGGGCACTTCAGGCCAGGTCAGGTCTGCCTGCCCTCTGCATCCTTCCATACACTGTAACCAGACCTCTGGCTCTCGGCACTCCTGCTCATTGTAACGAGACCCCCTCGGAAAGCAGACTTCAATTATTCATCCGAGAAAATGACTGCGGCTCTTATATCACCGGGAATGGATGTGCTCTCCTCTTGCCAGTGGCCCGGAGAGGCTGTCCTTTCTGAACTCAAGAGCCATCTCTCCTGCTGACCCGTCATACCCTGGACAGCATGCGGGGCTAATAGCTGATCTCCAAAACTGAAATAGGGTCGCCTCAGAGGAGGCTGCAATGGGGAACAGCTGAGAGAGAAGGGATAAGACCCCCACCACTGACAGGAATGACCCAGGGGGATGTCACCATTTCCAGGAAACCCACCAGAGAAAGAATTCGAACGGAAAGCCCTGTGTTTAAGTGAATGCCCTGCTCTCTGCTTGAAGACAACCATGTCAACAGAAATGGACAGGATGGGGATGTTGCTGCTAGGTGCAGCCTGGTGGACAACAAGAGGAAGCCCTGCCTGGTCCCGTCCCTCCCCTGCCCCCACAATCACCAGCCATCTCGGCCAGGGTCGTCCCCTTTCCTCCTGACCAAGCACCAGGGTCTCCAGGGACTGGCTCCTCCAGAACACAAGCCCAACGTCTCCCCACCCTCCCTTTCCTGAGCACCGCACCCTCTTCTTTCTGCCCTCTCTCTGTAGTGAACTTTCCTATGGCCTCCTTGTCAACCTATAATATCCATGAAAAGAAATTCCTAAAAGCCTACCTTCTCAGAAATCCTCTGGGTATTTGGCTAGCATGGTTTGATGGCAGTCCCTGAGCAGTGCAACTGGTGAGCACATCCGGCACCATCTGAGAGGTTGGAGGTTCAAGTCCACCCAGAGATGTCTTGGAGGAAAAGCCAGCTCTACTCCCCAATAATCAGCCACAGAAAGCTACACAGAGCACAGTTCTACTCTGACAAATGAGGCAGGGTTGTGGGTACAGGGGGAGCAGGGGGATTTTCCAAGAATCCTAGTAGGCTTGAGGACAACTTTTTTTCTCTAAAGGTCTGATGACACTAGCCATTAAGGTTTTCCAACTAAGCACCTTGCTCTGGGTCCATGTTCTTTAAACAACTGTCTCTTGTCTGATCAACTCAGGTGTACGTAAGTCAACGACGTGGGCTTTCTGGGAACCAGATAACTGATAACAAGAGTAGCCCATGCACAGGGGTCACCCAATTCATAACAGCAGCAAAATGACAGTGATGAAGTAGCAATGAAAATAATTTTATGGTTTGGGGGGTTACCACAACATGAGGAACTGTACCAAAGGGTCACGGCATTAGGAAGGTTGAGAATCACTACTCTAAACAGTCAACTGAAATATCTGGCTTCACTTTTGTAGTTTGCAGTCTGATATAATTTTGTAAGTTCATTTGGGGGTTTTATACAGTAGTCTTTGCGATCCTGAGAAAAAGACCTACTTCATTCTTAACCCGGTTAGGGTTCTAGGGTTCTGAGCCTAAGAGGGTGGTGACCCTCCCTGACCTTTAATATTAACCTCGGTCAACAAAGCCCCTTGCCCCAAACCTTCTCTCGTCTCCCTGCTCGTCCAGACAGCCCTGCATTCACTCTGCCCTTCCTACAGCCTGCAACCCTGCAAGCAGAATCGGAAAGTCTTGGAAATGCTCCTGTAGTTGGATGAAAGGGAGGGTTGGCCAAGTAGTAAGGTGCTCTTCTAAAGCCCTGGCTTGGCCACACTGTTTCCAGCCAAGGATTAACATGGAAGAAAAGGGGAGAGTTGTTCCTCCTTGTCCTTTTATTTGTGCACGACAGCACTCCTCCCATGCCTCCTCGCCACCCATCCCATTAACTTCAGGGGGAAAGAAACGAAGAAAGAGCCCAGAATGAGCTGGTAACAGCGATCCCCTGCCTCCAAGTCCATTTCCCTTCAGAGAAACGCTGTCCAGTGCTTCCGAAGCTGTAAGTCTTTATGGGAGCAGATAGCATTTTCCTTGAGTGGGCTGGTGGGTTTGAACCACTGAGCTTGCAATTAGCGGTCCAATGCTTACCCAAGAGTGCCACGGGGCTTCTCCTGATGATGAGTATTTCATATTAACTGAACTGTCGACCCTGTGGGTAGCAGTCAGCACTGACCTGCCAGGGCTCCTCACAATTAACTTCTCAAAACCAAGAAACCAATCTCACCGGCATGGCGTTGATTCTGACTCATAGTGACCCTACAGGGCAGGACAGAGCACCTCTGTGGGTTTCTGAGACCGTAACCCTTGGTGGGAGTAGAAAGCCTTGCCTTCCTCCCTTGGAATGCCTGGTGGTTTTGAACAGCCTAACACATAACCACTACACCACCAGCGCTCTTCACAATACGCTCGGAGCCTTCCAAAAGGTATGGCGATGTCAATTTCAGTCCATGCTGCTTCACTTCTCACCTTCAAGCCAAGAGGCTTGCACTCGTCATTTCTGCCTTCTGCCCCAACTTTCTGCCTCTTTATGTCTTATTTTAAAAGAGCAAGTGTCTAACTGAAGAGATCTAAGATTCCACAGTTGTTCCGATGAAGTTGGATTCTGATGGTGAGGCTGCACCCATTCCCTGCTCCTCTACTTCTTTTTAATTAAATCATTTTATTAGGGGCTCATACAACTCTTATCACCATCCAAACACACCTCAATTGTGTAAAGCACATATGTGCATTCATTGCCCTCATCATTCTCAAAACATTTGCTCTCCACTTAAGCTCCTGGCATCAGGTCCTCGTTTTTCCCCTTCCCTCCCCACTCCCCCCTCCCTCATGAACCCCTGATAATTTATGAATGATTATGTTGTCATATCTTGCCCCGTCCGACGTCTCCCTTCACCCACTTTTCTGTTGTTTGTCCCCCAACTCCTCTACTTCTTGAAGTATTTAGAAATTACATTTTTCTTTAGGCCAAAGCTCAGTGTGTGAACTGATATTTGCTGTCCAGGAAAATGCCCTCGCCTGGTGTAGCATACTTGCCCCAGAATGACAGAGGTCAAGGGCATCTCGCTGTTTACAAAAGGTGTGTCCCAGGCATGGCTAAGTCCATGCTGTCTGCCTCCTTTAAGCCAAGATGGCTGGGGTTCCCACAATGCCTGCTCAGTACAACTCTCTCAGACATCATCACCTTTGGTCTTTGACCGGACACACCTGCTACATAGTACAGTCTTTTAGGAAAGTGTGTGCAAGCCTTGTTTCCAAGAAGCCCCTGCCCGCTGCTTAGGGAGTAGTGATGTGAACACATTCCTTCCCCAGGACAGTGCATCTTCTGGTTCAAGGTTCTTGAACTTGTGTGGGGCCAGTGAGGACTGGAGAGAGCAATGAGCCTGTGTCCTGGACTTTAGCCATGCCCAACCCATAGGAAAAATATCACATGGGTGAGGCCTTCTGATCTAGGGAGCACCAAACCAAACAGAAACCAAAGGCATTCTGATTCATAGTGACCGCAGTGAGTGAAACTGCCCCATAGACACAGTAGACTGCCCTATCTTTCTCCCGAGGAGTGGCTAGTGGGTTTGAACCACTGACCTACCTGTTAGCGGTTGAGTACTTAACCACTCACTGCACTAAGGAATTCCAGTTCCTGGTAAATAAAGCAAGCAAAATAACACAGGCAAGCAGAAGTTGGCAGATGAAGCCCATAGCCAAACTGCTGGTGCCAACAAATGGCAGTTGCTGGTGGACGCCGACCTTCCACCTGGACAAATTCCAGGGTGTCCCTGAGGCCCTGTGGGATATGGATCAGTACCAGTGTAGGTGGTCCAAAAAGTCTACTCCTAGGAATCTTGCAAAGCCATGAGTCTGAACTAGAGAGGGAATCTAGGAATGTCTAGACGAGACCAGCAAGTTTCCTACCGAGCCTGAAATCTTTCCTTTTCTTCCCAGAAACCCCAAATAGGAAATCGGCCACGTTTAAGGGAGTGAATCTACCTTCCCTCTCCCATGAGCACACCCTCCCTCCCAGTTGTAGAAGATGCTGACTCAGTTTAAGCCTGGCTCAGAGCTCTTCCCCTGGAAGAACAGTCATTTGTCATGCATACTCCATGGAGAGGTGACATTTTTATCATCAAAGATCGGCTTCATTTTAACCTTTTCCCACCCGTAGCAGCTTCTCCTTGCTACCTTTTCTTGTCTAGGTCTATCTAGCTCCTTCCCCAGGACAGGACAGTCACCCTACACTGTAGGGCCTACAGAGATTTTCCTAGGGGCCCTTAAGGCTCTCTGGGCCTCGGGGATGCTTTCCAAAGCAAACACAGATAGACCACGCTGAAACGGGAGATTTCAGTTAACCCAAATATGGGAGGCTGGTTTTAAAAGACCACAACATATTCCCAAGACAGAACACTAACCATGCAGCCATTACACATCAGAAACCCAAACCAGACTACCTAGTGACATGGAGCACATGTTCTATGTATGGACCAAAAATTAGTTAGCATTGCGTGATCTCAATTTTGCCTAGAAAATATGTCTAGTGTGTATTTACACACACACACACTGGAATTCCTCTATGAGCCTTTCGAAGCCCTTTTCGTATTTTATATGTGCCTTATATAGCCAAGAAAACCCTCGCTGCCATTCTGACTCAGTGACCTTATTGGACAGGGTAGAACTGTCCCTGCAGGTTTCTGACTCTCCATAGGAGGACAGTCTCATCTTTCTCTCAGGACTTAGCCAACCTGTAACCACTACACCATTAGAGCTCCTATACAGCAATATATGCACAGAACAAAGGACCTGATAAAAACAACACAAGGGATGGATGCATGGATTGTGTTAAGAGCTATACGAGACCCCAATAAAGTGATTTAAAAAAAATAACACAAAATGTTAAAGGAAGAACCCTAGGTGGTTATTTTTATTTTTCAATGTCTTTTCCAATATTTTAATCCTATTTTGTATTACTTCTGAAATCAGTAAAAACAATGATTATTTCATCCCCAAATACCAGGGGTTCTAGGCTACCTCAGGCCATGACACTTGGCGATTCCTATCCAACTGGCCACCAAGTTGCTCTGCCAGTAATAGTCTAGACCAGCCTGAAGAGAGGCCCCAAGCTGTCCAAGCTCCTGACTCCACGGCTTATTCTAGAGAGTGATGGCGGGCCACAACGCCCAGCGGCCGACTTGACCACTCTCTGGGTCCACCTTGGGGGCCAAGCTCCAGCGTCTATCCAGGCCTGCACTCACCGGTTCTGCAGTAAGGATAGGCATTCCATGCTTTTTCATGTATATTCAGGGCTCCCTCTGGCGCCAGCATTCGAACAAACGTGGGCACTTTGCTAGAGAGAGACAAAGGGGTCAGAAAGAGCAATGGAGGAGAGGAAAAGAAGCTATAACAACAAGCTCTTCTATCACATTCTCTAGACCACAGCCAGCTGCTTTCATGGGGAACCAAAGAGCAAGTCTCCATGAGATAAGCAGGCTACTCTTGAACCTGAGATGTCATCTGTCAGAGCCTGACATCCCAGCGTAGTTGGCTACTGACACCCACCCACAACTTGCCCCAATGCGAGCTGAAAAAGGACAGCCAGTGAAGCCCACCCCAGTCATTATAGGTTCTGCCAGAGGCCACTGGCCCCAGGCAAGGGTAAGATTCAAAGGAGATGTCAAGACTAGCCAGTCTAGGTTTATGGGCCTGAGCGAGTGGATGGGATGACTAACTGGTGGATGGGATACAGGATGATCTGATCTGCTTCTCTCTGTTCAGTGAAGCTAAGAGGGCCTTAGGGGCCTTACACACCAAATTGTTTTTTCCATCTCTTCTTATCAGGTCACAGAACAAAATGTACAGTGTGCGCCCACACAAAAATGCATATTCCTTTCTTAATTTTTAACTGGTCGCCTCTATCGTCTCTAGCAGATTCTAATCAGCTTGTCAGCTTTATTTCCTGAAGTCTACAGAGCCCTAACCCTCATGAAAGCTCACTTCGAGCAGCTCCTGGGAGGGCCACTCACTCACTGTCACCCTCACTCAAGTGCGGCCTTCTGTGCGCCAGCCTCCAGGGAGACATACAGACACTGGGCAGACACGGCGTCTGCCCTCAGGGAGCTTATGACGACAAGTGGGAGTACATCTAACCAGGCAAATGGGAACACTTAGTGTGTGCTATGATGGGCTGCACAAAGAGCAGGTGCGTGTGTGTTGGGGGTTGGGGATTGTGAGGGACTGGGGAGGCTCCCCAAGGAACACTGCGAGAATGAGTAGGACTCGGGCAAAGGCTGGGCGACGTCCAGGGTAGATGGTGCAAGGAATGGCAGGAGCAGTCATGGAGAGCTTGTAAGTGGTCATCACAGTGTGGACTCTGCCCTGAGGGCAGATGGAAACCATTTACGATCACTATGCTGTGGGCAGTTCACCTGCCTGCCTTGGAGACAGAACCCACGGAGGGAGGGGAAGACCAGTTAAGGGCTGCTGGGAAGACAAGGCCCCGTTGGAGCGATGAAGGAAATGGACTCCACCTGAGAGGTGAAGAAGAAGGGGTGGGAAGCCCATGTTTCTGACCTGGGCGACCCTGAAGACAGGGAGCTGCAGGAGTTTTAGTTGTTGGATGGTTCGTGACCAGGACAGAGGTGGGACAGCAGCTCAATGTTCACACCCTCTCTTCGAAGGACTAGGAGGCGTGGCAAGATAGGCCCCGCCTTCACTGTGTGAAGCCTGGTCTTTGCCACTTGAGTTGCTGGGTCACTGGAGTCCTGAGGAACCAAGCCCCAACCTCACTCCCTCCCTTCAAAGTGCTCTTCAAAACTACGAATGCACGAAGGGAGGGAGGCAGATCTTAAGTCCCCATGTGAATCTCAGCCAATTGTTGAGTGCTCAGTGAAAAGTGGCTGGCAGTCAACTCAGCAGGGCTGGCAAGGGGGAGAGGAGGAGGCCAGAGGAAGCACCCGGGAAGGCAACGGGAGCCCAGTGAAGGCCCCCCCGCCCCCGGCTTCACCACCGGCTCTGGCCCTCACTCACCAGGGCGGCAAGTCAACTGAAATCACTAGCAGTCAGTTTAATGGCCAGCAGTTAAGCTTCAGACTTATTTTGACCAGTCCTCAGTAGTTTTTAACACGAACTTGGTCCTGCTTCCATGCAAGCTGGTGTATGTTTACTATTACTTTCAACGTCCTTTGGGGCAAGTCACAGTGGACTGAGAGATTAGTTTTGGTTACAGATACAGCAAATTTGTGCAGTTTGCTACAGATAGTCATACAAAACTGTTTTAAATGTTATACCTTTGTTCCAAAGGGTTACCAAAATCTCTTTGGTGGCTTATTCACTATTCCAGAAACAAACAAACAAACAAAAAAAACTGGACCTAAGAATGTCATTCTTTGAAACAGTTACTATATACTTCCGTAGACAAGTTTAGCAGGAGTTCTGTAGGATTTTTACCAGAGCACTATTTGTCAACATCTGAAAATGAGTATCAAACTACTGGTACTTCATATATGAGTGAGGTAGGATATGCTGACCATGAGAGACAGGTCTTATGCTAAGTGACAACAGAGCAAAGTGAGGAACAGCGAGTATCGCATGATTCCATTTATCTAAAATGACAGTAAAAGACATCTGCGTACAGGTACACATTTGTGTGCGTATACATGCACAGATAACAGAAGGATCCTTAAGAAACTAAGCACGGCTACCTCTGCAGACCGGGGGTCTTGTGGGGGGCATTTTTCTAAACAAAACTTTCAGACAACAAAGTACCACCTCGCCCCACTCTCACAGGTGAAACAAGCTGAGCAGCCAGCTAAAAACGGGAGAAACCCAGCTCTCCATTATCTCGCGCGCAGAACCCAGCCGCCTTCCTGCGCCGCCGCAGGAGTCTCGTACCTCTGTAAGTGGTAGATCTTGTGTGTGTACTGGCCTTTCTCGCCGTCCTTCTCATAGGGCTCGTTCACCAGCACCTCCACACCCTCGCCGCCACCCGTCTCATTCTTACTGGCCTCGGCCACAGAGTACAGCTGCCCCACTTGGTACTGTGGGGACAGAAAGACGAGTGACTCTCACGCCGAAGCTCCTTCCCTGCAGCGTCCAGGAGCTGGTAATGACCCCAACAGATCACGTGGGATTTCCTCATCTGGAAGCTCATCCTGGATGGAGCTTCTTCACACACGGTCTTCTCCAAGTCTACCTACAACACGGCCTTTCTTTCTCCATCAGCTGCGTTCCTTCCCGTCACCCCCCAGAGCTTACTACAACCAAGAGGAAGCTGGAAAACACCGCCCTTTGGAAAACACAGCGTCCAAGGTAGCGTTTGCCCTGGGCCTGCTCTGGTCGCCAGATTCCCAAATAAGGGGATCTCACTTCGTCTCTAGAAGGTCTGTCTCATTCATTGATGACTTCTGGTTACAGCAGGTTGCCAGGTACTCCAATAGCCCGGCCTGTTCTCTGCAAAGCTGGGGCCCACCCTCACCCCGCCAGCAGCTCACAGGAGTCCTGCGGGCAAGGGGACTGCGTGACTGACGTCTTCCAGATTCCTGGTGGGCTGCAGCAAATGCCCCAGTGCCCTGTTTTAGGCAACAGAGTCTTCCCCCAGACTGGGCAGGCCCAGGGGTCCCTCTGGGTTGGCACCTACTAGATGGCAAAAACCTGGTTTTCCTTTATTTGGGTCACATGCCACCCTATCAGGTCACCAATCAAGATCACTGGCCTCCTCTGACCCCCTCAGGACAGCTCAGTGTTAAAACCAATGACCTGGGCAGGGCAGGCCAGGGCCCAGGCCTGGCCCTCCTGCCCCTGCGGCCTGAGGGAAGGAAAACAAGGTGGGGAGTAAAAAAGGAACATCGACAGTTCAATGAAGGAAATGCTCTCTTCTGCCCAGCTGCCTTCCTATCACTACGAATGCCAGCTGGGCACAGCAGCGTGAGGGTGAGAACGAGGGAAAGGGCACTTGATTACTCCACATGCTGGGGGCAGGAGGGGGAAAGAAGGGTTCTCTCCAAACTCCCGGCACTTCCAGGGCAAAGGACACAGGTTTTCCTCTCTGGAGATGAGTCAAGAAGCTGCGATTCTGGGCAGCTGCCACTCCCAACCACCACGGGCAGTAGCAGGGACCAAAAGCGGCATCCGGGGCGACTGCCCCCGGAACCTGGAAGCCTGCTCTATCAGGCAGTGTCACAGGCTGCGGGGAATGCAGAACAGGACAACTTACTGCTCACCCCGAAGCTGGAAGAACCCCAACTTCCACAGCAAAAACCCAGCGCAAACGCCAAGGAAAGCTCCAGGCAGCGGATCAAGGCTCAGTGACTCCCATAAAGGGGGCCTCTGGGTGAAAGCCCGACACGCTGGCCCTGCCTACCCTAAGCCCCTTGGCTGCTGCCTGAAAGCCTCCATGGAGCGCCAGGCGTCCCTGTCCCAAGTCCACTGCCTGGCTGAGGCACACAGAAAGACCTGTATGAAGCCGAATGGGGCTTGGCCTGGCCAGGGTTCTAAAGGAGCGGTGAGTCACACCGGAGGCCTGACTCAGCATTCAGAGCAGGCTGGGCAGAGGGGAAGAGGGCACTGTTGGGGCTGGTGGCGCTGCGTGGGGAGGGGACCTCAGGCAGAGACTAATCCCTTTTATTTGACTCCTCTTCAGGGCAGCCTGCCTCTAAGAGGATCAGTCTGATGGGCTGGCTTCTTCCCCCTCTAATCTCTCTTGATATGCTGACCCTTTAATGCCACCAAGTGAAGACAGAATTGTCAATCCCAAGGGCTGAGTAAGTGGCCTCAGCAAACTACAAGGGAGGGGCACTTCCCACTTCCTGCGGAGAGCTCCCTGTGCCATACCTGCTCGGTACCCAGGAAGGTTGCTTGACTCAGATGGGATGGGGTGGGGTGGGGTGGGGATGGAGGTCGGACTATTTAATCAGATAAAAAGCCCAGAGGAGACTGGACGCCCTGCCTCCCTGGCCTAGGGCACTGCTCCCTGCACGAGTGACTGGTTCACTGGCCCCATGACTAGGAAATTCAGGTACGAAACACATATCCTGGTGCCTTAGCAATCTGGGAGCGGGAGCCCAGGACAATACAGCGGTGAGTCTGAAGCACTGATATGAAACCTGGCCTGAAAAACAGTAAGGATGCTTGTTAGTCTCTCCTAATGCCCATAGGGGTGGTGTCTCACCTCGGGGTGGGGGGATACAACCTAAGGAAAACTACCCTACCCTAAGCTGTCCTCACAACTGTCATGTTCAAGCCTATCACTGCAGCCACTGTGTCAACCCATCCCGTTGAGGGTCTTTTTTGTTGCTGGTCCTCTCCCATACATGACAAGGACTAGTCCCTCCTGAGAGTATGCCCAAAGTATGTGAGCCCAAGGTAAGTCTCGTGTCTGTTCCCAAGGAGCATTATGGCCGTACTTCCTCCTAGACAGATGTGTTCAGTCTTCCGACAGGCAAGGATATACACAGTGTTCTTCTTTGCCACCACTTAACCCAGAGAGCATGGCCAACAAGCACAGTCAGCAGGGAAGGGCCACTGCCCAGAGGCCTCCAAGGAGTACCTCCTAGAGAACACGGGAGTCTTCTCACGCTTACGAGCTCATCTAAATCCTTCCCTTGGGTTTGGACCTGCTTGGTGCCCGGATCCCTTCTCTCCAGTCTCTCCCACTGGTAAAGGAACTGTCTACCCGGGGCTGCTCCACCACTGTACTCTGAAAGCAGATGGCTCGTGTTCTGGATTTCACAGGGTTACAGGCAAAAAGGAATTTTGCCCCAGAATGAAATTTGGTCTTGGAGTTGATTTCCATCTGGGAATGGTAAAATGGGTGGGTGGGTTTTAAAGATGGCATGGATAAAAATTGGGGGGAGGGCAAGAAGGTAGGGCAGGTTTTGTGTCCGCCTCAAAAAGCTGGCCATGCCATTTCTCAGCGCTCATTCTCCTTCACGTTGTAAAGGGATGGAGCTGCTCTGTGTGCACCTCAGTGATGTTCATGAGGCAGAATATCATCTACAGGGCTAGGCTGGAACCTCAAGAAGTGAAGCGGGCCAAGAAAGCAGAGCCTAGCGTCGAGAGAACTGCCCACCCAAGGAAAGACCCATGTGCGGGCAAACGGGGACTGCCCGGGAGCAGATAAGAGTTAAGGATCTCCCCTAGAACCTACAGAAGCCCTCACCCCAGCACCGACACAGCACACTTAGACCTGTAGCTCCTAAACGGCGAAAAAACAGATTTCTATTTATTAAAGGAAACCACTGTGGTCTTTCTGTTAAGCAAACTCGTTAAGTCAGCCAACAGACGCCCACTGCATGGAGTCGACAACGGCTCCCTGGGACCCTTGCAGCAGAACCCAACTGCTCCCTGGGCTTTTGGAGGAGCCCCAGTAACAAACCATCTTGGTAGCTCCAAGGGAGACCGACGAGGCTGCTTTCTCCGTCTCGCAAACCCACAGGGGCTCTTCTGCCCTGTCCTGTAGGCTGACTCTCGAGGAATCAGCATGACTCCATGGCTGCGGGGTTCAAACAGCTGATCTTGCGGTTAGCAACCTAATGCATGACCAGCTAGCCACCCAGGCTCCCTAAGGAAGACAGCAGTGGGTGGGGACAAGGGTGAAGCTAAACTTAGAACCGCTGGTGGATACACACCTATCAAATAGCTAGGGCTTTTCTGCTCTTCTCCAAAGTGTAGAAACCTTGGGCAGTGCTGAGGTTAAAGGCTCAGGGTAGCCCAAATTCTAACTCTTCCCCCGGATGTTGATCTAGACCAGGAAGATGGTTATAAAGACATGACCTTCGTGGTTCTCTTTTTTGTATCAAACTCATATAAGCATCTTGAGTCATGGCCTCCAATTTGGGAAATGCATCCCAAAAGTCACAACCATGAGTCAGAATGGGTTTACTGACAAAGTCTCTGCTCCTGCCTTGGCTCCACATTCCACCAATTCCAACTTGGGCCTTCTGGGACCAGAGTTCAAGCCTGCCTCAACTCTACCCAGGATTCCAAACCACAAAATCCAACACACTGCCACTGAGCTGATGGTGACTCAGTGTGGCCCTGTAAGAGCTACACTTCTCAGAGACCCCCCACTCCTCAAGCCATCGAGCGACTTCCCAGAGACAGACACAAAGAAGCACCTACTTCACAGGTAGATGCTGTGCCTGGAGCGCTTCATTCCTAACCAGGGAGCAGGGCATCCTGGAGCAGGGAGGAAGTCAGGGGATCTCCAAGAGCTGGGTTTCAGGGGAAGCAACTTGGGCCTTCTTGCTGTGGCTTCCATTTGGAAAATCACCATGTGCTATTTTCAGTAGAGGCAGCAAGGGCTCCAAGGGAGGGAGGCTAACAAGGCTCCCCCAAGTCAATACCTGTCAGGTCAGGCACCCACTTCTTTTGCCCTGGGGGCACAGTGGTTACGAGTTGGGCTGCTAACTGCAGTTTGCAAAGTCAGCAGTTTGCAACCACCAGCGGTTGCATGGGAGAAGGCCGAGGCTTTCTGTGCCTGCAAAGATTTACAGTCTCAGACACTGGCAGGGGCAGTTCTATGCTACCCTAGGGTCGCTATGGGTTGGAATGACTCGATGGCAGAGAGTCTGAGTGAGAGGTACATCTCAGTTGCCTCTGAGAATCACAGCCCCTCTCAAGCCACCTTCCCCAGGCTACCCCACCAGTCCCTTCCCAGATTACGTCTGGGCTGACCCCCACCCTGCCCAGGAATCCCCTGCTCTGATGGGCTCACCAGGAGACAATCCTCAAAGCACTGTGCCCCTGCCCACCCTTCTCGGAGGCCTGGAAGCTTGGACATTTGCCTCAGTTAGAGTGCTCTGGGCTCTGTTGACCTTGTTGCCTTTGTTAAAGGTCCATTTCATTTCTAGAGCAGAGCAGACGTTATCACAGAAGCATCCTGCTGACGAAGCAAGAAAGGGTGAGGAAGCATGCAAGTGAGGGTGCTGGCTGACAACCTGCACCCAGACTGGAGCTGGCCCAGGGGTCCCCTGAGCTGGGCTGAGCCCCCAGGAGGAGGTGGAAAGAAAGTCTGAGGCAGGGGAGGAGAGTCAAGGAAGTTCAGAGATAGGGAGGCTCCCAGGCAGGTTGCTGCTGTCCAAGAGACTCATTCTGAGTCAGCATGGCCTGTGAACCTTCATCAAGGCACATCCTGCCAGATCTCTTGTCCATAGGGATGGCAAGCTTGGAACTATTAAGGAGAGAGAGCAAACCCCATTTACTTGTTCCTCCCTACCTCTGGGAGAAAAAACAAACTCACTTCCCGTGGATTCTTAACACAGAACAGGGTAGAGCTGCCCCTGTGGGTTTCTGCGATGAACTCTTTATGGGAGTAGAAAGCCTCATCTTTCTCCCCAAGAAGTGGCTGATGGTTTCAAACCCCTGACCTGGAGGTTGACAGCTCCACACATTAACCCACGATGCCACCAGGGCTCCTCTGTGAGCGGAGGGTTCTGCATCTTCCCTGCATCACCTACAGTAGCTAAGGAGGCCCTACAGACTGTGGGTGCTGGCCTGCTGCACCACCAGAGGGCCACGCATACCTCCCAGCAGAGCCATGAAAGTCCCAGAAATGCACGTCTAATACCGTCGACAGCATGCCCCAAACAGACACCGTCCCAGACAGAACCTTATTCAGTCATGCCCGGGCCAACAGCTGAGGGCAGGCTGCATCCAAGCGCGCAGGTCTACGATGACAAGGGGAACGGAACCAGGAAAAGCCACACACCGAGCACTGGCACTGGCTACCTCTCCTTTGAAACCCACAGGTACACTCGCCGAAGGAGCCCAACTCAGCCGTGGGTCCGAAGCCATCACACTCAATCATGGGTGAGAAAGAACACGGACTTACCTCATCTACAGACACTGGAAGGATGACTCGACTACGGGAGAGAGAGGAAACAGTTATCAGCTCCGGGCGTTGAAATCTGCTCAGAAAGCGACATCTCAGCAGTGTCAAACAGTTTGTTGTACCCGCCACTATATAGTCACTGTTGCAAGACCCAGCCGCTAGGATCCCCAGTGCTCTTCTGGCATCCCTAGAATCCTGCGATTCAGTATAAACCTGCCCCCCACACCCTGCTTCCCAAGGCTGACTCACTTTTGGAACTCCTGTCTTAAAGACCCCCCTCTCCGACTGCCATTTTCCACAAGCCTTGCCAATGAGTTCCGTTAAACAGAGCAGTGGTTACCACCGAGGGAGGGACCTACCCATGCACACTCTGCTGGAGATGAAGGATCTGCACAAACAATTCCCTAGGACTTACAGGAATCTCTGTACATCTAACCCCTCAAAAGCCTTCAAGGAAAAAGCTGGGAAGCGGCCAAACTTCTTGGAGGCCTAATCCCCCTAAATAGCACACATCTCCCATCCCCGCTCTGGAGCAGAATATGACAGTACAAGCAACTACCTTGAAGCACCCCCCTCAAAAAAAAAAAACACACACACGTTGTGTCTTGAATTCCCGCAGCTGTGCAAAGGCACACTAAGTAGTGGATTTCTTCTCTGTGTCCACAACTACCTATTGTGGGCTCACTCAAAAAAACAAAACAAAAACTCACTGCCACCCATAGAGACCCTCCAGGACAGGGTAGAACTGCCCCAGTGGGTTTCCGAGACTGTAACTCTTTACAGGAATCAGTCATCCCAGCCAAGTGCCCACGGTGGCCAGGACTCCAGAAAAATGCCACAGCTGGTGGCACCCCTCCAGGTGGTTTGTTTGTAACAGGGGGCACCATCACCCCAGATCAAAGCCCCGCGGCCACCAGAGACAAAAACCCTTGGTGTACCCATACAAGTCCAGCCAGTTTCCCAGGGCCTGGTTGAAATTCACTGGGCCCTTCTCTACCCTGTGCGCTTGGTGAAGCATGAGCTGCTCCGTCTTTCTGCCAATCGGGCTCCTGGCTCCTGCATGGTAAATAGTGAGCTCACTATGTTCCAGTTCCTCAAAGGCCCCCCCAGAAGCCAGCCGCATACAAGGGAGTCTGAGAAAAACACTGCACCAGACAAGAAAGATAGCAGGAAAGCCAAAATGGGTTCCAAGTCTTTGCTGCCTGAGCATGCCCCTCCTCCCGAATGAGTCAAATAACGGAGCTCCTTGGGCAGAGGACACTGCCCCTGACGCTCGCCTCCCATTAAGAGAAAGCTGAGGGAGCAGAAAAACACGCCCAACTTGGAGGCCAGAACTGCTGTACCCTCAGAAGAAACTTCCTCGAAAACAATGAGCCTTTTATCTTCAAGAACAGCAGCAAAACTCACACCCAAGAATACACAGAAATCAAAGGAGGGCGAATCCTGTCTGCTGGAGGGCCAGAAAAATCAACAGGGACAACCTCCAGAGACCGGGTGGGCCCCAGGGTCTCCCCAGCAAGGAGACCTGGCCAACTTCTTGCAGGATGGTCTGGGACTGACCGACCAGGATGCAAAACCACCTCCACAAGAGGGTGCGATTCCCAAGGCCTGGACCACAGATGCACCGGACTGGGGCTGGAGCTGTGCTCGCTTTGGTGTGACCTTCACTGGAACCCTTCCCAGGGCTACAGCAGCCTTCCCACGCCCCCCCCTCCAGGCCCCCAGCCCAGGGAGGCACACACTCTCCAGAGTACACACGGGGCACAGGTCAGCAGGGCTCCCTATCCCCAGCCCTTCAGATCTTCCCTGGCAAGCTTCAAGAGAACAAAGAGTGGGGAGGAAGCACCCTCCTTCAAAACTCAACTCAATCCCTTCTGAAGGGTCCTTCCATTCCCTGCCTAATCTCTTTAAAACCACGGCCTCCTACAGATTGGGAAATTCCTCTGGGACGAGGAAGAGGGTCTGGAGAAATAGGAAAGCCCCAAGTGCACCAAGCTCTCCTCTTGGGATTGCAAGAGATGGGATCCTCCTCCTCCTCCTCCTCCTCACCACCTAAAGTTCCCAGTTCTAGCTGGAGATGGCCGGTAAGAAGCTGAGGTGGAGGGACCTCAAAAGAATGCTCTTCAGATGAGGTGCTCACCCCTTGGAGTGACATCTGGATCCAAGGCTCCACACTATGTGCTAAAGGTGTAAACACCTGCCAGGGGACAGGGCAAAGTACAGTCTCTCACCAAACGGCAGCGCACCTGCCTGGCCCCAAACCGACTTCCACCAGTTGCACTCGGACATCTTCTGCACCTGGACTTCCCAGGTTTCCAAGGATGCCACTTGTCCCCACCTCCCACCAGGGCAGAACGGGTTCACGGTAAACTCTGTACCCATCAAACTCTCCCTTTGGGGGAGGGAAGATCCTATGATGTTTACTCTCCACTGTGAGCTTTAGAGATGGGTCATCTCAACTACTTCAAAGACTAAACAAGTCAAGTGCCAAACATCCCCGCTTGTCATGCAACCCCATGGATTTCAAGAGTAAACTCTCTGCTCTGAACTCCCAATTTCCCAGTGATCTGGCACGACTCAAGAACTCCCTCACCCTTCACTCACTCACTCAAACAAACTCACTGCCAGCAAGTGGATGCCACCTCAGAGCGATCCTATAGGACAGGGTAGAACTGCCCTGTGAGTTTCCGAGACTTTAACTCTTTAAGGGAGTAGGAAGCCCTGTCTTTCTCCTTACCCTTACACTATCTTTCTATAACTGCCTGGCCTCATGGAAACCCCAATTGCCCAAGTCAATCTCCCCCATCTCTTTGCCCCAAGACTGACACACCCTAGAGACAGACAGGCAGCCCCTGACCCTACACCAGCGGCACAAATATTCATTCACCAACATATCCTTTCGGGATGGTCCTCCTTCCTGGCACTCATTGTCACATCACACCCTCCTGTCACTTCATTCTGTACCCAATATTATCTGGAGTCCTTCAAGTGTTCCAGAGTAGCTCCTGGTCACCTCAAAGCTCCCCCCCCCCCAAAATGCCTCTTTGGCTGCACCTCCCCCTGGGCACCCCCATCACTCCAGCTACTCCCTCAGTCCCTGATGTCCCGGGAGACTTGTCCCTTGTCACCCAAACCTGGCCCTGGTTCCTAGTCATTTTCCTGGCTACTGGTTACAATCCTTCCCACAATACATAAGGGTCCCCTAGGCACCCCCTCCAGCCCCTAAGCTGTCTCTCCCACCTCTCCCTCCCCACCACCCTAACCCTACCTGCCCTTGGCCTCTTCCTCAACTCCTCCCCTCGGATGTGTCCCCTCAGGCCCGCCTGCAGCTCTAGGTGGGCCCCTCCATCAGTCCTTAGCCCCCCACATCTCATCCTGGGCTCTCAACGCCTTCCCTTCCGGCCCTGCTCCCGTCCAGTCTCAGGCTCCGTCTGTCCTCCGAGGCCCTTCACAGGACCTGTCTAGCTCTCCGTGTCCCCTTGACCCCACTTCAGGTCTCGAGCGGCCCTCATGGTCCCCTCGGCATCTCCTCGGGCCTATCTGGCCGTCCCCGGTCCCCTCGCCCCACCTTGGGCCCCAGCTGGCCCCTCGCTGTCCCTTCGGCCCCTGCCGGGCCGCCCAACAGCCCATCCAGCGCTCTCCATCCCCGTGGGCCCCCGGGCGGCCACGACCCCCCCTCCGCCGTGCCGTCAGCCGCCACCGCGGGTCGTCACCCGGGGGCCGGACACTCACTACTCCTTGAGCACCACCATGTCGCTTCGCGGCTCGGCGGCGCCCTGCTGCCGGTCCGGCTCCCCGCCCGCTTCCCGGCGGCCGC